AGTTTAGTGGGAAAAATAGTTATGTGATATACTTTTTTCCAGAAACATGTTTATATATACATGGAAAGAGTTTCTGCTCTTTGACAAAACATGGCAGTTCCCAAAAGTGACTACAAAATATTTTTCATGTCAATATCACTGAATATATGCAGAAATAGAAAACAAATATTCTCAAAAGACAAAATAAAGAGAGCTCAGAATTTAGTGCAGCAATATTTATTATTCCTTTGAGTCTGTTTTTTAAAAAGTTTACCACTGCCAGATAAAAATATTCAGGAGACATAGTAAATAGAAAAAAGGAATGCAATAACGGATTCAACATAAACAGCCACCACAACAGGCACTTGAGAAAAACACCACAATTCTATAAGGCACCAACAGACCATAACTTACCAAATCCATAGCTTTGTACTGTACTGTCACTTTTTTGTTTTACACAACAGACAGACAAACATGACCACTTATATTGGTAGGTGATCAAAGGAGGTAAATGCTCAGCTACAGTTTAGATCAGTATCTAATTAATTTCATTTGAAGGACTCTTTTTTAAAAGATCAGCTTACTTTGAAGATTTTGCTTCTATTTCCACTTAAACGGAAGCTGAGCAGACAAGGCTTTGGGCAAGGGATGCTGGAAGGAACGGTCTGTTTAATTAATGGATAAATTTACTTACGGAGGATTGTAACCTATTTTTAATTGCACTGTTTAGGCTCACAAGGTAACTGGCAGGTCTCTGGTGGATTAGTGCTACACATGTTTTCTAGTGTGTGCATTTCTTCCTTTCTTAGAATCAAATATTTTTTCATCCCTCGGCAGAACAGATTCTCACTTTTAGGAGTCAACTGCCAGACATAATTCTAACCACTTGAATGCTTTTCTGCACTAGAGCTTCTCCACTTTGCCACATATCAGGCTAATGAGAGTTTCCTGAATGGATATCCATCAGAAAGGCTGTTTCAGGGGGAAAGGCTGTTCCAGAATAAAAAAATTCTCTAAGGAGAGAGCCCTTCCCCTTTTGAGATAAAGTACAATCTTTGGGAAATCTATTAGGATTGTTGCTGAGTTTGAAAGGGTTTGCTTTCACATTTGAGCAGAGCAACTTCTGATATGATCCACAATTTTCAATTGGTGTGTGTATATGATTGTAGGAAATAGAAACTGAATATACTTCAAATATCAAAATATCACAAATTGTTTTGCACTCTCCCATTTCTAGCTATTTGTGGGCATGTTTATCTGTTAGTGGGCTGTTTACTAGTAAAGATCATAGGAGGAAGAGTTAATAATGCTCACACATCGCCTGGGTATCCATAAATGCCAATACAAGCAGGGTTTCTTGGCTTCCATTTGAATTCATTTGCAAAAGGAGGTAAATCTTGCATACATACAGCTGTATCACACAGTGTACTACTTACAATATTTTTGTACATTCTGCCATCTAATGGAAATCATTGAGCCCACTAAGATCTGAAGCATTTCTCAGATGCAAATCATATTGAAGAACCCAGGCACACATTTGATTAGTTGGCACACTGATCTACATTTTGAAGTTTATGTATTAATTATTAGTCAGATACAGATGGACATTTTAGTTTTCTATTTTATGTAGCATTCTAAGTGCAATCAGGTAGAAATATGCAAGCACTGCTATGGATTATAATTTCCTCCTCCCATAGTTACAGAGCTAAACTGAATATGAGATACAAGGCTAAGAAAACCATTGAGAAGAAAACAATGGGATATAAATGAAATAAAGAGCACCTGCCATAAAATCAGTTACCATTTGCAACATGTAAACTGTGAAATAGGCCTAAATAGCCTGAGAAAAACCAAGTTGAATGTAGATATGGTGACTCACCAGACATACAATAGGACTCTTTTTTTGTTGTGAAGTCTGCCTACCACTGCAAAACAGAAATGGCAGCAAGGTAATAATATATGACTATTGCATAACAGTTCCTCCCCTATATAAATGAATGCTTCAGAAACATTCCAATGGGGATAATGGTGGGGACACTGGTGCCTACACTAACATTTTACCTAGTTCTTTGGAGACACCAATGACCAACCTGGCTCTAATATGATCCTCTTTTGTCACAGAGTAGCTAATGAATATGCCCAGTGTGGATTTCTGAGGACAGAATTCTTCTGAATTTCAGAAGTAAACACCCAATTCAAGGGCAGGCCAATGATGATGCTGGAGCTGATGGGATCTGTTATCCAAACCAACAGAGGACATCAGCTTGCCTATGCGTGCCCTAAAGTGATTCCTTACCTATGTATCAAGTCCAATGGGTATATTTCAATAGTGTGACAATGTTGACATTGATCTTCCCACCAATTCTTAAGAACATCTTTGATTTCAGTTATAAATTCTAATACAGATAACATCTTGGATCAAGGTATCTCATAGAAAATATTAAAGCATTTCAATAAAACACATCAACAGTATGTTGCCATAGAATATTCATTTGACAAAAGGCAGAAAGGTATTCATTAATGAGCCATTATTAATTATCTCACTCTTACAGATTCAACTATTGATTTTGCTAACTACACTGATATCAAGTATGGTATCAGCAGTACAATTACTACAACAATACAGTGCATAAACAGATACAAAGAAAGTAAAATGGATCAACACCAAGGGCAATTAACATTACAGTCAGCTGCATCCTTTCATGCATCTTCATTATCTTTTACACCATTTATCTTTTCTTGGTAAAATCTTCACCATAGTTTTAATAGGTAAAGTAATATCCAAAATATTTTCCACATAGGATACATTTAAATTTTCATCTTTGACAACTTTCACCCAAGTCAATTGCACTTGGTAACTCAAATTTCCTGTTGCACAAGTGCAATCACTCTCCATCCCATCCCATCCCATCCCATCCCATCCTGAATACTGCAACTGGCAACTAAAATGCCTCCAGGTGATACACATAATTGAATTCAATGTCAATAGTACTTTACACATATGTTCTTATGTGCACAAAATGCCCAAGCAATGAACAGATTGTCTGGCTCACTCAGAAAAAAGTACTGGCATCAGTAGACTATAAGACTGTTCCTCCTGCTCATTCCTGAATCAACAAGGAACACACATACACAAACACACATTTCAAAGTTATACCCCAATAAGGTCTAGAGGTCAATGGTTTCTAATTGAGGTGAGCTTCCTAACCAAACATACACTTTCATACACAGACTCATCCATTCAAATATATTTACTTGAACAGCAGCATAATATGTTGCTTTCACTGAATTGGTGATGTACAGGGTTTTAAAAAACATGGCAAATTTTCAATCATATATGATAAAAGACTAGGGGCATAGAACAGTCATTTTTAACAGTCCTCTTATTATATAGTATTGTTCATTCAGAAGCAGACCACTAGCTAGCTAAATTGCACTCATGGTATTAAATTATGGGACTTTTGGTTTCATGAGTCAGTAAACTAATCAATTTCCTCTCTACCGTGCTTGTCTTATACAGTTTTCTCCACAAACAAGATGGAAATACTATTACAGGCAGTCCCCGAGTTACAAACATCCAACTTACAAATGATACATAGCTAACCACGGGGCTGAGACAACAGGAAGTGAGAAAAATCTACTCCTAGGAAGGGAAATTAACTCCTGAAAGAGTTATTGTGGGGAAAGGGTGTCTCCATCGAAGCTTTATCACTAATCTTTGTTTCCCAAAAAGCCATATTTTTTAAAAATCCAATAATCACAGAAAGTGAGGTGAAATCTTCTGAACAGGGGCACAGACAGCAAAACATACACCACAGGGGTGTTAATCCTTCCCTCTGCTGTCCAAAGCTAAAGAATATATATTTTTGGCTGTACTTCTTCTGATTTACAAACAAATTCAACTTAAGAACAAACCTACAGAACCTATCTTGTTCATAACTTGGAAACTGCCTGTAGATTCAAAAACACTTTGTTTTGGAGAAGTTACGGTACTATTATCTGTTGGCAATTATCAAAACATGTAACCAATATTTGAGAAAGTATGTGAAAGAGATTCTCCCATTTTTTAATTTTTGTTACTTTACATTGGGTGGGCAAAGTGTGGCTTTGCTCATCTCAATGCAACTCACAGCATTCTCGCATTCTTTACTACTTTGTTTTGAACTGCTGGGAATCACAGTCCAACCAAGAAAACCTTGTGTTGTTCATCTATGTCTTAACATCAGTTCAGAATTTGCATGAGATTTTTAGAAAAATCCTTACAGATGAAACACACTGTTTTTAAAAATATATAGAGCCCTTGCTCTTTTAACTTGTTCCCAATTCACTGTGAATACTATCAGCTCAGAAAGATAAAGTACTTGGTAAGTAGGACAGGAGGAGGAAAAGACAATCTTGGAGCTCATTCAACTCATGCTTTCCTTTCTTCTTAACAGATTATTGGCAATAATAGCTGCTTTAAGATGTGAACATTGTACAGGAGCATACAGCCTGCAGTACAGATGTGAACTTTGGTTTATAATGACCCTTTGGTTATGCAGGAGTAAGTAATATTGAATAAAATAGAACTTCCTTCCAAGAAATCTTGTAAAAATAAAGAGCTAAAGTTCAGTGTGTTCAACCACTTGCCTAATGGCAAAATCAACCATCTACCAGACCTCATAGATCAGGTTATGCAACTCAGATCTTATGTACTATGCAAGCTATTTCTGTTTCTGATTAGGCCATGAAAAATAGCTCAGTTTCCTAGAAATACTGGCTTCCTTTCATCTCAGGAAAGGAGGAGTTGAAATGAGTAGGAAAAATGAAAATTCTGGGAATAATAATAACCATCATTAATTCTGGGAATAATAATTAACCATCATCTAATCCACAGACCATAAATATTAATTCTGGTTATTTGTCAAGAGCATCTGAGTCCTTGTTAAAAAGCAATAAAAATATAATTTTCTGAATGTCTATGAGTGCAACATCATGGGTTGGTGAGAAGAGGTAAAAAAAAGATTAAATATAACCACATATTCACTATATTTTGAACTTCAGTTTTATTTTTTTCTATGCCTTCCAGATATCCCTAGGATTGTTTCCCTATTCATAAAGATCATCCACTAGAAACAAACTCTTTCAGATAATTTCTTGTCCCATCTTATGAAACAGATGTGCTATTAACATAGAACAAATTACAGAAGACCTACAAAAATGTAGTTTGTTCCCTACCTCTGTAAAATGTTGGATCTCAGCAACTCTTATTCTATCAGCTGCTTACCCTTAAGAGACAGAGATTGGGGTCATCTTTGTGTCTTATTCTAGTGTGCCTGTTAGTTTTCGCTATGTAATTTTTCAGGCATTGTGCAAAAAGGCATCTTGGTAAATCCTTGTACAAAATCTTTTCCATGGCAGCTCAGTGTAAGTCTAATGGTACCATGGCAAACCAAACTTTGATGGGCCTGTTACATTACATAACTTGATGTATTCCTAACCATACAGCAGAAGTGCTGAGAAACCTCTTGACCAAATTATGAAGATGTGTAACATGACCACAATGTGCATTGGAACCATTGTGCATGAGCAATGCACATCAGTGAGCATTTTGTACTGAATGATGATTGAGTACCTAAGCACATTAGACACTTAGCTGGTTCTGTTAGGTAGTAATTTGTAAAACTGTGCAATTCTGGTTGCTAGAAACATAAATCCACTTGTGAAGACTCCGGCCCCAATAGGACTCTGGTAATATAGCTTGCAATAATGACTTTTGGGCACTCTGATTAAGATGTGTATAGTCAAGAGGAAGAAAGGAAGAAAGATAATTTTTAAAAACTGAAGGAGGGAGAATGTGACAAATACATAAAAGTAAAAAATACTAATAAAATGTTGGTAAAGACCTGTGGTTTAGCATAATAGATATAACTCCCCAGAACTAATGTAGGGTAATGCTCAGGAGTGTTGAACTGGAGTCTGGAAAGCCCAGGTTCATGTCCTCACTGAGCCATGATACTCACTGGATGATCTTGGGCTACTCATTGTTACTCCTCCTTTGTCATGAACAGATCCTAACCCTCCTGCCATGGATATATGAATCCTTCATGTCCTTTATTATACTCCTAGCTGTTTTTATTATTAAAGATTAAGGAATATGGAAATAAAACTATAAGTGAACATGGCTTTCTGTCTTTTGAATGCACGTCCACATTTGTGGTTGGTTTGCAGAAGAGAATGGGGCTACTATGATTTTATGAACTGTGTAAAAGAGGACATTTTGACAAAATATAGTTCATTATTCAAGTTGAAATGCCAATTGAAATGCCCTCCTATGTGCAACGATTAAAGGAGCCAGAAATCTGCCCTGTTTTGAATCTGACCAGAGTAACTCTACTAATCTGATATGCATAAATAAATATTCAATCTGCAGGTCCAATATTTTCACTGGCTATAGTGATAGGAAATCCTATTAAAAAAACCTCTGTTCCAGCTTTGTAGTTATCATTTTTGCAAAACACCACAGGATCAAAAAAGAAGCCAAAACACAATGCCAAAGTTTTTGGACCCCCCCCCCCCCCCAATTCCAGGTGGAATTGTGTTGCTGGACTTTATTAACAAACATCCGGGTGCTTATTTTATCTAATTCCCTAACATCTGAAGACAACACATTGTCACACAATTTTCTCTCTCTGTCCTATGGGTTTTGCCCTACTGTTGCCAGGAGATCTCTCTAAATATCAACTATATATGCATGTGTGTGCATAAAAAAGAAGTATAAGGACAGGTCTCCCACTACCATGTATATGTAGTCTCAAAACACAGACTGGACTGTTTCACAAGACCAAATTTCATAATATAAATACATGGGATAATTCAGAATAACGGTAACTGCTGCTCAGTGAGAGTAAAATGACTATGTGTTTGCACACAAACTTGTAGATGCACAGCTTCACATTCAATTTCGCACCAGCAAACCCTTTTTATATGCAAAGAGACCAGCTGCAGATGCAGCTGTAAAGAATACAGAGAATCCCATCAGTTTCAGTAGTGCAGGTACAGAAGGTAAGTTCCTTTCCCAAAAGGTAGTAGTGATTGGCAGTGCCGGGACATCCTAGATGGAAGAATAGTTACTATTAGTGTGGGCTATTTCCTTTTGATAGTATAAGCAACAAAAATACAGAAGCACTAGAAATGTCCTGAAAAAAGAAGTGACTGCTAGTGATATACACAGGCATTAAGTCCACCTTGCATCTATATTATTATTACCTTTAAAACATGAATTTTAAACATTTGCCCTTTGTTTAATCTTTGTTTAATTTGTGTATTTTGATATGTATTTTACAGAAATACATTTTAATTTGTGTATTTGTGGAATTTTAAAAATGTTTATGTGTTTCAATTATTCTGTAATCTACCTCAAGACACAAGGAGAGGCAAGTAAGAAATAAAATTATTATTATTATTATTATTATTATTATTTTACTAACACAAAAACACAGTATGTCACAGCAAGCGAGATATATATGCTGGATGTTATATTACAAAATCACAAGTCGAGCACTTCCCAAGTGTCTAGGACTGTGTAATGTTATTACTATTATTATTATTGTTGTTGTTACTACTACTACATCTTCTGTTTTTGTTATTGCAGAACTTGTTATTCTCTCTTACCACCTGCAATAGCTAAACCTTATCMCCCCCCCCCCCCAACTCACTGTTAGACTGAGATAGTCCCCACTCCCTATGGCCATTCTGTTGCAGGTGGAGAGTGGAGATGACTGGAGAAGAATCTGGTTATACAATCATAGCCAGTCACAAAGAGTTGGCATCATCTACTGGAACCATGGGGAAACTTCAGCAGATTATGGTGGAAGATGCCCACAGCATACTTCTGGCTATGGAGGAAACCTCAGGTGCTTCTCCAGTCATTTTTTATCTCCTCCCACAAACAGCACTCAATTCAAGTCACAATAGAGCTGGCATTTATTTGATTCCTTAAAGAAGCAAAACACCACCAATGCCACCAGCATCATCAGAAAACTGCACACTTACAAGTGATTCTGATTCTTTCTTCCAGATGTTTTCTGCTGAAATTTTTCCCATAGAGCACAATATCTTAAAAAAAGGAAAAACAGTTATACTTCAAAGATTTTTAAAAATCCATGATTTCCATATGAACTTAAAATGATTATTGCCTAATGTCAGGATGAAAGCTTAAAAAAGAATGATTCACCAAGCAGATGGAAAGAGGTAAAATATCTTGAAATGCGCAGGAATTGCATGAAATCCTACATATTAATTTGTCAATAAAGTCAAAACCCACCAGGCAGGGCAAATCCAGTTACACAAAAGACTATCCCTACATAAGTAGGGAAGGAAACAGCCCTTTAATCTTCAAATCAAGCCAAATCTGGTTTTTAAATGAATAAATAAAAATACTAAAATTTCATTGCAAAATAATACAGTTCTATCTCTTTGTGTTCAGACAGGACTTCTACCAGATTTCATAATCCTTGTCTCAGTAATGGTTGGTGTGAAGAGGGTTGGAAAGCTGAAGTATCTTGCCAAACTACAAATCTCAAGATTCTATGGGATGCTGCCATATAATTGAATCATAGTGTTATAACTGTATGGTGTGAAATGGACTTCTGTATGTACCTCTCTGGCAGCTCTTTCTCCAGCCTGCACAGCTCCTTCCATGTAGCCACTCCATTCAGTAGCTGTCTCAGTGCCAGCAAAAAAGATTCGCCCATCTGGCTCACGAAGGATTCTTTTAAAAGTAATTGAATACAAGAAATATGACAAACACATTGCTCTGATCCTAGGTTAAGTGAGACCATTCTAAATATTAGGGGTGAGCATTTTTTGTTAGTCGTCATAAATCGTAGCAAATTTGTTAAATTCATATTTACGATGTGATACCTGACATGCGGACATGGCCCACGCCAAAAACCTATGAATCAAAACTTACCCAATAATTTTTCATTTTGATTTTGTAAATCCCAGAAGCTTCTCAAAGTTAGTTTCCTTTACAGCACAAAGAAGCCAAGCCAAGCCAAAAAGGCTCCCTTTCCTCTTTAAATTAATGGCCTCTGGTCATAAGGAGAGAATATCAGAAGGGAAAAAGCAGAGTTCACTGGGAAAGTGACTGAGAAAGCACAGAATTCTGGGAAATATAATTTGGGAAGGTGAGGAGCCCTATGCCAGATAATTCAAAAGGTCCTGTCCTAAACTACATTTCCCAGAATTCTGCTCAGCATCAGAAAACTCCAATCAGGATAGGAGAGAGCTATTTTCCCTCCATAGCAGCAGCCAGCTAGAGCTCCAATAAATTGTTGAATCTGCAAAGAGGAGGGCTGACTGATACTTTCAGTAAGTAAATTTCTGTGCTGGGAAGAAATCCCTAAATGGAAGTTCTATCGATTAATATGAGAGACATTCAATGAGATGGCTGTTACAACTTTTTAAAAAACATTTTTGTCAAAACTTTTAAAAATTCCCTAAAATCAGTAGAAGTATGAATACTTCTGAAAGTTTGGGGAAATTATTTCCTGTTATCACTGTATAAAAATTCAAGGATATAGCTTTTTTAGGTTTTAATAAAATGTTTATAAAAACTTTGGAAAATTCCCCAAAATTTTATGGATAAGTGAAATGTTCTGAAAATTGATGAGCTAACAGTGATAAATGTGTTCTACTATTGTAACAAGTTTCACCCCCCCAATAGCTATAAAAATGAGGGGGAAAGGAGCCCCTGAATTTTCCCCACTTTCTCAATTCCTTCAATGAAAAAGTGATGAAATTTCATTACTCTTGTAATAGTATCAAAAGTTTTACTAACAATACTTTAGAGACACTTTAGAAATGAAACACCAGCACCCCCTAATGTTGTAATGACTTTTGAAACATTTTTATCAACTGCACATGACTACTAAATATCATTTTAATAATTGAGTCCTCTTTTACCTTTCTCTAGATGCCCTTTAGGCCCCTAAATAAGGTATCATATCCTGAACCGATCTTGGAAGCTAAGAAGGGTTAGCCTTGGTTAATACACACCAAGGAATCCCAGATGCTCAGAAGAAGAAACTGCCAAAAGTATTCATTGCCAGAGAAAATCCTAAGAAATTCATGAGGTCACCATAAGTCAAGAGGCAACTTGAAGACATGCACACAGAAGAGGTGTTATGGGGATCAGAGTTATCTTCATTGAGCCCCTACAAATTCCCATCAGGTTGAAGGTGGTAATACCTAAAATCCAATAGATTCTAGACACATTCCCAGGAATATGCCCTACTACATGTGATAGGAATCACTTCTGAATGTATGTTGTTCATACATTAGCCTGAGCTGGCTGTAATCAATTACCATATATACTTATGTATAAGGTGACCTAAAGTATAAATCGAAAGCAGATTTTGGGTGACTTGTGGATAAGTTGAAGATCAAATGTAGGGACATGTAACAAATTTGTTTTTCCTTTCCTTTTCCAAAATGCATTGAGGGATCACAGGCTAATCAATATCCAGCTGTTTTGCCATCTATAATAACTATGAGTATAAATCTTTGGTTACATCTGACAAGCAGAAACTTCTGTTTCTGACATACAGTAGCTTTCTAAGACAGGGTTATCTAAATTTAATTAAGCCTTTTGAGATAGGGCTATCCTAATCTAAATGGAGTTGTTTGGTGGAAGTAATCAGGTGGATCAATGTAGTATTAGAAAGATCTTTAATATTTACAGGTGTCCATGTTCTTTTGAACTATTTGCTTATCTCTTCGAAATTATCCAAGAAAGGGATATGTGGATTTTTATTTTTTTGCTCTTTCTTGACCACTAAAGGATTGATACTTTGACAGTTGGAAAGATAACTTTCCTTTTCCTGTAATCCAATGGACGGAAAACTTAATAATACTTACAGCATTTGAAAGAATAAACTAGAAACAAAACCTACAAATAAACTTGTATTTGGACATTTGGTCAGCCTTTACAGACACCTATTGCTAACATGATTGTATTTTCTCTTTTTGTGTTCCTGTTTTCCCGCCTTGGTTACACAGAAATATCACAATGTACAATTGAGAACTGCTTCGTGTACTTCCATTATGCTTTCAATAGAACTTTCAAAAATCTAGCGAATCAAAGCAATAAAATAATAATTTAGAGACTGGATTTTCCTCATATTACCACCTCATGAGAATTACATTTTTTAATTCTTGAGTTTCTTAAATAGACACTTTCTTGTTACCATACCTTCCAAACTGAGTCATGATCCCTGGTGGGAAATAGGCTGTATAGCATCCTCCAGAATACTGTTCTTCACACCAGTCCTTCTCTTCATAATGCACCGGCTGCAAAGGAAGCATGAATCAAAATGTGAAAGGAAAGCGAGACATCAAAATTTGGAGGAGAAAAATGAGAAGACAACAGAGAAGAATTCTCTCAACCTCCCATGAAGCACCCATCTTTGCTTTTTTAATTTATCCAGATGACAATTGAATCAGGAGAGATACAGTTACATTAAAAGTGGGAGTGAAATGAAAACATATTATACCCAAACTTTGTGCCCTTTCTTGCACACAACTTTGTTAAGATTTATTAGAAACATAATACAAGGCAGACCTTGAGAAAAAAAAATGTTCAACAAATTCTAAGTCTTCTAAAATAGTCCATGTGGTGGCTATCTGATTTGAGGAATTATAGTAAAAAAGTAACTTTTCCAATGTCTAACCAAATATATTGCACTGTTGTTCCTAAATACACTGCTGAAAATATATTTCATTGGCATGAATGAATTCGAAATATCACCATGCAGTGAACAGAAAAGTATTGAGAATATACTTTTAAAAAATCATACCCAGAATCATTAACTGTCCAAAGCCAGCCACAGAAGATATTTTTAATAAAACATTGAAAAGATGGTTAAATTTATCTGGAAACCACAATGTGATTTGACTTTTTGTGCTAAAACTCAGCCATGAAGTATTTGTAGTGGGATGGTAAGTGTAACTGTATTCATATTTGTCTACTAGAGGAGAAAATGTGGCTGAAATCAACTATTTCCTGTTGGAAATGTTAGATCTTTATATGTTCACAAAAGTAGCTCTTTATGGCATTCTCTATGCTATACATTGAATCGGAAATTAATTTCTTACATGTAAGGCTTCCTGTGATACCAGCACTTTTGCATAGAGTTCACAAATCTGGATTTTCCTGTGGAAGAAATTGTAAAGAATTATACACCGTCCCTCGAAGCTTTATTTAGAAAAACAATTGGTTTGTTGTTAATGGTAGTTTCTGAATTTTAACATAGTAACTTTTTCAGATTTGCAAAGACTGTGTTCACAGAGAATAGTAATGGAAAAAGCACAGGAAGGAAGACTTTTGTGATCTCTACACACAATGCTATCTGGAAATGAAACTAAGTATAAACAATTGGGTGATGATCACCCTTCAAGAAGATGTTGTCCCCGTGTGATCACTATGATCACATGATACTTTGTTTGCTAAGCAAAGAAGGATTCTCAATACTTTAAACCACTGATTCTCAAATTTTGGTCCTCCAGCAGATACAGTATTTTCAACTTCAGGTATTTGTTCTACTGGGCCTGCCTTCCAGACTTACCAGAAGGAGCACAAAACTGGAAGACACCACATAGTCCATCAGTTGAACCCACTGCCATACTGGAACACAAAATCCCTCCTGACAGATGGCCACCCAGCCTCTGCTTTAAAACTTCCAGAGAAAGAGACTCCACTACTTACTTACTTACTTTACTTAGGCGATCCCTCGTTGGACGAGTAAGATGGTCTTCCTTGATGACTATTTTTGTGGGTTTGTAGGTGGCTGTGGAGCCCTATTCTTGACCCGCATCTTCTCCCACAGTGAAGCCATTGGTTTCTAGGTGGAAGGCGGTCCCGGTCGGGGTTGGCTTGATGCGCCTTCCTCCTGGCACGTTTCTCTCTTTCACCCTCCACTCGTGCCTCCTCAAATTCTGCAGCACTGCTGGTCACAGCTGACCTCCAGCTGGAGCGGTCAAGGGCCAGGGCTTCCCAGTTCTCAGTGTCTATGCCAGAGTTTTTAAGGTTGGCTTTGAGGCCATCTTTCAATCTCTTTTCCTGTCCACCAACATTCCGTTTTCCGTTCTTAAGTTCAGAGTAGAGCAACTGCTTTGGGAGACGGTGGTCAGGCATCCGGACAACGTGGCCGGCCCAGCGGAGTTGATGTTGGAGGACCATCGCTTCAATGCTGGTGGTCTTTGCTTCTTCCAGCACACTGACGTTTGTCCTTGTCTTCCCAAGAGATTTGCAGGATTTTCCAGAGGCAGCACTGATGGAATTGTTCCAGGAGTTGCATGTGACGTCTGTAGTCAGTCCACTTTTCGCGGGCATATAGCAGGGTTGGGAGGACAATAGCTTTATCGACAAGCACCATGGTATCCATACGGATGTCCTGGTCCTCAAACATTCTCTGCTTCATTCGGAAAAATGCCGCACTCGCAGAGCTCAGGCGGTGTTTTATTTTGGTGTCAATGTTGGTTTTGGTGGAGAGGTGGCTGCCAAGGTAGCAGAAATGGTCAACATTTTCTAATGTTACACCATTAAGCTGTATCTCTGGCATTGGAAAGGGATTGGCTGGTGACTGCTGGAACAGCACTTTGGTTTTCTCGATGTTCAGTGACAGGCCAAGCTTTGTGTATGCTTCTGCGAAGATGTTTAGAGTGGCTTGTAGCGCACAGACGACATTGTCATCAATACTGGAGTTCTATAACAGATGTTGTTGTAACCTTGGTTTTGGCTTTCAGTCTGCTGAGGTTAAACAGCTTACCATCTGTCTGATAGATGATTTCCACTCTGGTGGGAAGCTTCCCGTCAACAAGGTGAAGTATCATAGCGATGAAGATGGAGAATAAAGTTGGGGCAATAACACATCCCTGTTTGACACCCGATTCCACCTTAAATGGGTTACTTTGGGAGCCATTGCTGTCCAAGACTGTTGCCATCATGACATCATGGAGGAACCGCAGGATGTTCACAAATTTGCTTGGGCACCCGATTTTTTGGAGGATGGTTCAGAGAGTGTGGTTCACTGTGTCGAATGCCTTTGCAAGGTCGATGAATGCCATGTACAGAGGTTGATTTTGTTCTCTGCATTTTTCTTGGAGCTGTCTTGCAGTGAAAATCATGTCCACGGTTCCTCTGGAGGGGCGGAAGCCGTTCTGGGATTCTGGGAGGGTGTCTTCTGAGAGGGGCAGAAGGCGGTTTGCAAGGATTCTTGCGAGGATTTTCCCAGCAGAGGTTAGAAGGGAGATACCTCGATAGTTTCCGCAGTCTGTTCTTTCCCCTTTTTTGAAGAGGGTGATGATGGTGGCATCCTTGAAATCTGCTGGGATTTTCTCGGTCACCCACACTTTTTCTATGAGCTGGTGGAGTTGTTGTGTCAGCTCAGGTCCTCCCTCTTTAAATATTTCAGCAGGGATCCCATCAGGTCCACTGGCTTTGTTATTTTTTGTTGGCTGATGGCATTGCTGACTTCTTCCAAACTAGGCAGTGTGGCAAGCTCATCCCTGGTTTCTTGTTGTGGGATTTGTGAGAGGACCTCTTCGGCCACATTGGAGCTGCGGTTCAGGAGGCTTTGGTAGTGTTCTTTCCAACGTAGTGCGATTGATTTTTGGTCCTTCAGGAGTGTGGTTCCATCTGATGAGCGTAGAGGCTGTATGCCAATGGTTTCTTTGTGGCTTTGAAAAATGCCTGAGCATCATGGGTATCTGCCAGGTGTTGGATTTCTTCAGCCTTCTTTGTCCTCCAGATGTTTTTGAGTTCTCTTGTCCTTCTTTGGACCTCGGCTTTTGCACTGGCATAGATCTTTTTCTTGGCAGCACAGTTGATGTCTCTCTGCCAAGTTTGGAAGGCTTTCCTTTTCTTGTCAATTAGCTGTTGGATCTCGATGTCATTTTCGTCAAACCAGTCTTGATGTTTCTTGGTTTGATATCCAATAGTTTCTTCACAGGCTTGGATGATGGAGGTCTTCAGTTTGTTCCAATGTTCCTCAACATTTTCGGGGTGTATTGTGGGTAGATGGTCCTTGAGTGCTGTTTGGAGATGGGTTTGTCTGGAGGGCTCCTGAAGGGCTTGGGTGTTCATTTTGCGCCTTGTCTTTCTTCCTTGGAGTCTGCGCTTGGGAGCGATCTTGATAGCCATCGTGGATTGGATTAGCCTGTGGTCAGTCCAGCAGTCGTCAGCACCTGTCACGGCTCTTGTGAGGAGCACCTCACGGCGGTCTCTGGCACGTGTGATTACATAGTCTAAGAGGTGTCAATGCTTTGACCGGGGGTGCTTCCATGATGTCTTGAACTTGTTTTTCTGGCGGAAGAGCGTGTTGGTGATGACAAGGTTATGTTCCGCACATTTGGTGAGAAGCAGGATGCCGTTTGAGTTGCTGTTTCCAACCCCGTCTTTTCCGATGGTCCCTGGCCACAGGTCGAAGTCTCACCCGACTCTTGCATTGCAGTCCCCCAGGAGGATGGTTTTGTCCTCCTTAGGTATCCCTGATAGGACGGTGTCCAGCTGACAGTAGAATTTCTCCTTGATGTCTTCGTCAGCATCTAGTGTTGGTGCATAGGCACTTATGATGTTTGCCCGTTGGTTTTTGGCAAGATCAATTCGGAGGGTTGAGAGTCGTTCGTTGATGCCAGTGGGTGCTTCAGTCAGATGTTTCACCAGATCATTTCTCCACTACACCACAGCATAATCCACCACCAAACAGTTCATACCATTAGCAAGTTCTTCCTAATGCTCTTTTCCTTTCATTTATATGAATGGCTTTGTGTCCTGGTCTCAGAAACAGCAGAAACAAGCTGGCTTCATATTCAATATGACACCCTTTCATGGCTATTGTGTCACTACTTAACCTTCTCTTCTCCAGACTAAACATGTCCAACTCTTAAGTCACTCTTCATAGGAAACTGGTGCTTGAGCTGCCTATCTGTGATCTTCATTGTGGATCTCTTCACATGGGGTTTTTAATGGCCCCCTTTCCCCCTTCAAAAAGGGCCTGCTGAGTGCCATCAACAATGCTGGTTTGGCCCTGCCCCCATTGCTCCTGTAGTGGAGCAGAAGCATTGCAAGATGCTTTCTCTGCTGCAACAGAGAGGAAAGTGGTTTTTTGACAGCTATCCACATTTTCTTCTCCTTTCCCTATATGATGGGGAAAAGGGCAATGGGGACAGGGTGCCAACACACCCTGTCCCATCCCAATCCCAATCATATGATTGGGGAAGGAAGGAGGGTGCGCGGAGCACCATGAGGCACCCTGCTTGACTGCCTGCGAAACTACATGGCCCCAGTGGTCATGTGAAGAGGTCCAAGATTAGCACCAAAGAAATCCTTATACGGTATATCCAAAAGCATTTCAGATAGCCCTCCCAGTTTAGTGACATTGCATCCAGAGTAATAACTAACCTTCACATGTTGGTTGTCGTAAATAGCAAGTGTTAGACTCCCTGATTTTCCTGTCTTAATGAAAAGATAATGGGGAACAAAGCTTTTTATTCCATTTTTGTTTGCCATAGCATTTTGATTTGCTAAAGCCATCTGTTTTACGTTTTTCTTCTTTTGTAGCTTTCCATTGTTTTGATTATTTGTTTTATTCTATTTTTTATCATTATGTAGTGTTTTACAGCTATCCTAGTATATCTAAAAATGCAGGACATATTTGAAAACTTCCAGTTAAGAAATAGACTTGACTTATGTGGACTCCTTTCTGGTAACCATATAACATAAAACAAAGCCTAAAGTCAAGTAATTACTATTGCCATCAAGTGGTTGGTGTTGGAGCTACTATAATTCAGCTTTGAATCACTTTCCAATTTATTTTTGAATCATTGTTTGATTTTTTTGGTGTTATAATTAAAAAATGTAACTTTTTACAGTTCTTTTCCTCTGTGAGTTGGACAAATAAGCTACTGGGGTGTTCCATAAGCAGGAAATGCCTTCTGCTACCATTCACAACTTCATCACATGGGATACTGCAAGCATCGTAGGATACTTGTAGCACAGCTGATCTATGAAACCCCATGGCACCCATCAAATGATGCACTGTCAGCAGGGCTCCGTGGAAAAACTGTGGTGCAAGCTGTGGTGCACGATAATGTACCCAGAACATGGTAGGCTTTCCAATGTTATGTAAGGAACAATGAGGCAGTGTGTGTGTGTGTGGCGGGGGGGGAGGGAACCATGTGGTGACCTTCCCCATGTGTGATGGGGAAGCATTGCTGTGGGGTAAGGCTGGGTGCAGGCCTCAGGGATTGCCCTGCTACCGCATTGATTTACCATGGAGGCTGGTGAATTCTAACAGAGGCTCATCAATGTGATGAGTTCCATAGATATGGAAAGACAGCAACACCATATTTGGCCTTTGGAAGCACTGATTTATTGTTCATACCTTTCTTCCTTAGTGAGGTGACACAATCTTCTACACTTCCGAGCAAGGATGAAACTGAAATTTTCAAACACAAAGAATGCATGAAATAGATTCAGCTTTGAATCACTTTGAGACAGAGAGACAGAGGAGAACATTATGCCTATTATCAAACAACAATTTTTTTTTTAATGGTTGGATCTGATATCTTGAATTTTTTTCTTCTCTCAGACATGTCAGGTGGTGTCCAGTGGCATCTTTTGAGATTGCATAGTAACATAATGAAACACAAAACATACAACGGCCATAGGGTTTTTTTCTTTCCTTGCTTTTTAGATGCTGTAGAAAGGGGAAATTGTGCATTTTTCTAGTGAAAAATGCAAGGGCCAGAATTCCTGCCCCTATAGGGATCTTGTTGGCCACTATGTAAACAGAATGCTGCCATGCTTTACACATATCACATATGGATAATATGACCTCTTCCTTCTTATATAATACCTGCACGTTTCAGCACTTTTGCCTTATAATGGAATACCATACAGTTAAAATGAAATAGAAAGTTAAAGGTATAAGATTGAGACAAAATAATTTGCATTCTGAATGCACCAGGGTTTTTCTCAATGGGCTATTTTACTTCTGCTGTCTATAACATGTTATTTTTCCTTAGAAGGAGTGTATCTACATGGCAGAATTAATGCAGTTTGAGACCACTTTAACTGCCATGGCTTCGTGCTATAGAATAATTGGGTTTCTGTTTCAGTGAAGCCCGATAGTTGGTGCTATGCCCAACCTTGTAAAACTACAATTCTCCCGATTCCATAATATTGTATCATAGCATGGAACTTAAAGTGATGTCAAACTAAATTCATTTTAAAGTGTTGATTCACTTTAGAACTATATTCCAACCATGCAGTGCACACTTCAGTAAAGATACAAGTAAGATACTCTTCAGATTTAGATCCTCCTTCTCGCTATTGCTAATTCACAAGGCTTGGGGTATAATTTACCCAATTATGGCTGGGAAGCTTCCATCAGGTTTGGTGTCATCTAATGTCAAACCAATAGCTGCATCGTCATCTTCGATAATCATAGTACCACAGTAGTCTAAGAAGGGGTAAAAAGAGTAATCAGTGTAGTTCTAATGATTATATTCACCTCATACTTTTTAAAAACAGCTTCTATGTGTTACATTTACTGCAGAAAAGCTTACTACATGGAATGTATTCTTTCTATGCTACAAGAAAGACCATCTTCAGGGAGTGGTATTCACAAAACCCCTAGAGTAGTTTAATGGATGTGGGGAGAGCTAAGAAATCCACTTGGAAGTGTTCTCCATTAACCCATAAAGAAGTGTTTCTCATTTTTCTGCCTGAGATTCATTTCTTGGGAATGCAACAAAACCTAGAACTGTATAACATCTCACAATGAGCTGTAGCAATAAGGTTTGAGTAATATCTACCTATCCTGACCTCTCTGTGATATAAATTGATACTCTTAATATCTACCTATCCTGACCTCTCTGTGATATAAATTGTTTCTTTACCTCTTCTTCTTCCCATGTAGCTACCGTATATTCCGGCATATAAGACGACTGGGCGTATAAGACAACCCCCAACTTTTCCAGTTGAACTATAGATATACTCGCTGTATAAGACTACCCCTCTTCTAACACACACCAAATAAACATTTTTAAAGCATCAGATTTGATTTCAATATGGTAATTTTCCTATTACTGTACCTCCTTCTCTGCCTTTCAGATCTTGCACCTGCGCACCTGCACCGCTTCACTGCAGTCTTCAGGAGTGAGATCTGAGAGGCAGAGGAGGAGGTACGATAATAGGATACAAGGGCGGGCCAGACAGGTAAAAGAATTGTGTTTTTCTGGGCCCAGAGCCACTCCATCTCTTTTTTCCATACCCCAGGCGCCCCAGACACCTGCAGCTTGCTCCACCCCTCACTTACACCTTCCCGGTGAGGCACCCCTTCATCTCATCATTGGGACCACATTAAGTCCATGAATCCTGATGAATGGATTTTCTTCTACCATACTTGTACAGCGTCGTTCTTAATGCTTTCATACAGTCACTGCACATAGAAGGGATGCGGCCACTGCCATTTTTGAGCTCCCCCCACATTATGCAGCAACCACAGATTCTCCAATCTGGATTGGAAGTTTCAGCACCCGCTCTATAAGATGACTCCCGGCATATAAGATTACTCCCACATATAAGACAACTCCCATGCATAAGGCTACTCCAGCATATAAGACGACTCGAGTGTATAAGATGACCCCTGACTTTTGAGAAGATTTTCTTGGGTTAAAAAGTCTTCTTATACACCAGAATATATGGTAGGTTAGACCAGCACACTGAATAATGTTTATATCTTAGAATGAAGTCTCTTTAATAAAACTTATGGCTTTATTTCCCTCCAAGCCATTGCCATGTCTCCTCTTTAAATCAAGATCTCTGACCACTGCATGGACTCTAACTCCATTAACTGCAGAGACACCAGAAGGTGAAGTCCAGAACTTTCAACAATTTGAGACTGTTTACAAATATGGACTGATGGACACCTGTAACATGTAAAGTAATCCTTAAGTTTAACTAAACTAATACACCTTATCCTCCAGCTGCTTACTTTTCCCCTACCTTTTCCATTACAATGAAATACCTTTTTTCCTCCAGAATGCTTCCTTGTAGTATACTATACATTTGATGACTGATCCCATGGGAATCCGATTGATCAATTGATTTCTCATGGAAGGCAAAGGTGGGTTAAAATGAATCTTCAAAGTAAGTGCTGGAGGTATGGCACAAATCGCATACTGAGCCTTGAAAAGAAATACAAACAAAATCATTTTCATGGAACCCATTTTTAATTTATTCAGTTTATAAGCTGCCTTTTCCCCAACCTTGGGAACCAAAGTAGCTCACAACATTAAATAATAGATTCTACTAAAGACAACCAAGGAAATAAAGTACAATCATCAACATGTTTCAAAGGATGGAAAAAGCTGATTCATGTTGCTTACATTTGGTAATTGGCTGACTACTGTCTAAATTGGAAATTGGAAAATGTGTTTTTCTAGACAACATGCTAGCTAGAGCAACCTGGTTGGTGTAATCCAAAAAGTAACTAGTTTATGCTCTAAATTATTTAATTTAATATATTAATATACCACCTTTTGAGAGTCAATGGGGTATAGTGGTTTGAGTGTAGGCCACGTGTCAAATGGAAGGCCCTTGAGGCTTTCAATGCCAGAACAACATAGTTACATTTATACAGTATTACAATTACAAACAACCCTTTGAAAGTAACCATTGGTGAAAATGGGTTTGACACCCCTGGTGCAGGGCTCTAGGGGATTGGGGCTGAAATTTCTGCTTAGCCACGGAAACCCACTGGGCAAATTCGGCAAACTGCATTATCTTCAAAGTACGAAGATAATAGGCCATATCAAAACACATGACACTCTTAGTCTTAGAGGAAAGAATGAATAATTCCCACTGGGGAAAAAAAAACATGTTGAGAAAACCCAGTGATAGATTTGGCTTAGGGTCGTCATAAATCATAAAAGATTTAAAAGTTACAAAACAAGAATGAATTTCCACAATTGTAATTTTTGTTTTCTAAAGGAAAAAAATGAACTCATGTGGCATCATTGTATTGCATCTCCCTAACATTACCACAGAAAACCAATATAAGTTTTAGAATTCCATAATTTCAATAACCTCGAAGGTTTCGTGATCCAGAGTTTTCACTTTTACATTTCCACCAGTCTGATCAATGCAGCTTACTGGTTTCTCGAGTTTTACCAAATCTCCCAAGTAATCCATAATCTTCTCGCTGATTTGGCTAGAACCACCAACAAATTTTCTCTCCTGGAAGAAAAGGAGGAGAAAATATGACAGAAGAATGAGCAAAATGGTGTTTTCAAACAATACGAATATGGAATAGATGCTTACCTACAGAAGCCACTTTGGTTTTTCCTGCAGTTCCAGTTGAATAATTAATTGATATTACATTGAACAAAAGGACTTAAAATACCTCATGAATTTTGTTTGACTTACCTCCCAATGATTTAGTGCCCATTTAAAGATCACAGCTAAAGGATTAGTATTTTGCTGTGATTTATGCTGTAAGCTATGTGCCTGAAACCATAACCATTGCATTAATATTAATTACATTAATTCTCATGTTTCAAGAGAAAGACAGAATATAAAGAACATCTCCTACTAATTTTAAATATGTCCTGTTATTTGGAGATTGATTTTGAAGGAACAGTATGGGGATGTTTTCTGATTTGCTAGATGGAGGGGAGCTACAAACAGAACTATAGTTTCCATATCAAGTGAAGTCATAAGACAATTCTATTTTGATTTGGTCAGACAGCACCTAAATTATTGTGCCTAGTTCTGGGCATCACAGTTTAAGAAGGATGTCAAGAAACTAGAGTTAGTTAAGAATAGGGTGAACAAGAGAGCATCAGGAATGGGTGGAAAAAATCAGAGAAATAAAGGACATGGATGAATTGACTTTTTTGTTGAAGAAAAATACAGGTATGATACTAAGAAGAATGAATTGGTATAATCTCCATGAATATCTGGACAATTTGGGAAAATAAGAAACAAGAGAGACAATTTCTTTTTGAACTTATTTTATATTTTTGAATAATAAGAAGATATGATCCAAGAAGATGGAATGGAAGTCATTTTTTTTTTGTTTTTCTTTTTTTTTTTGTGTGTGTATTTTTGTAGAAATTTTTTTTTAGGGGTTATTTGGGATTTTAGTATACTTTTTTGTTTCTTCTTTTTTTCTCTTTCTTTCTTTATTTCCTCACTTTCCTATACTTTATTGTTCTCACTCTTTCGTTGTAATCTATATAAAAATTAATAAAATTCTAATTTAAAAAAAGAGAGCATCTAGAATTAATGCATTTTGACACAACTTTAACTGCCACGAGTCAATGCTATAAATTCAAGTTACATAAAAGATGAGTCTGACTAAATAATTAGGAAGAACATTAGATAAGAGCAATTTGATCATTAAACAGACCATCTCAGAAGCTGGTGGACTCTCTTTCATCATTAGTAATTTTTAAGCAAAATTGAGATAGCCATCTGTTGGGGATGCCTAAACTGCATTGGCAGGAGATTAGACACGATGCTCCTTCCAACTCTACAATTCTATAAGATAAACAATTAAATTAGCATCTGGTACACTTTGAGAAGATTCTATGCTTTGCTTGCTCGGGACTTTAAAAAATGATTCCAACAATTACCATAATGACCCAAAATGCTTGAAACTGAAAACAAATCAAGGCTTACCTGTCCTCCATTTGTTGTTGAAAATATCCTGGCTGTCCCGCCACACTGCTTAACGTACCACAGGAACCAGAGAGCAGAGACCTCATGAGGCTCAGAGGTAACATCGACGTTTACAAACAACGTGGCAAACCGCTTGGCAGCACTGCACACAAATCAAGAACAAAAACATAATAGATTATATTACCAGCTCGGTATTGTTCTCTACTGTGTAGAAAACTTATCCAATAGTGCAAGCCCGATTTCTGCTTGAAGGAAACATATGATATTTGCCTTTCAGCGGATTAAGTGACTTGTTCTCATCTCTTCTAGAAATAGAAAATATCAAAACATCGGGAACATTTAAATTTGATATGACGATCCCAGTATTTCTGAAAGGGTCTTCATATTCTTAATGTCTAAAACTATTGCCATTCTTTATCAGGCTCAAAGTATCACAGTTCATGCTATGTCTGGCCCTAAAACCTTTCTTTTAAAGACCGAAGAGCTAGCAAAAGGTAATGTAGGTCTTACAATGCACATCCCAGAATTCCCACCTTGGATGGAAATCATCCTTGTGGATGAATGGTTGATGGGTTATATTTGGATGGAAAGAGAGCCATGTAAATAGTTAGAATATATTAGCTACTGCATTTTGATCTCTTGCCCCCTGCCCCCGGCAACTTATTTCAACTGACAGAATTGAAAGACCAATATAAATCAGATGAATATCAATTAAAATGTATACCTAAGGCATCCACCCACCCATGCCATTCGCGGAGACTGCAGACCCCAGCAGAACACTGGTAAGGAATGCTGGGAATAGTAATTCTATAACATCCGGAGCACTACAGAGTTTCCATCTCTGTCCAGTGGGGTGTTTCTTCAAACATTTCCATGAACATTCCAATTTTCCTCAAGCAAATAATCCCTATATTGAAAACAGACTTTTAAAAACCTTTTAATCTAAACTGTTTTGTAAACAGAAATAGTCAATATGTCATTTAATAACTAAAAGGAAAACAAAAAGAAAAAAGGCTGTAGACCTTTTTCTTCTGTGTTTATTTCTTTCCAGAACCCCAACATCTTCCATTTATTCATAGCTGAAAAACCACATTGCACTGAAAGATGGAGTTGCCCTCTGGGGTAACCTGACATTTGGATCTCCTCCCACCCCATGCATGCTTATGACAGCTGAGTAGTATTTCTAAGTGGTCAACAACTGAAAAAGCAAGAATACACCTTAGTATAATACTGATTATTTGTTTTGACAACCACATCACTGACCTACTCTTTAACATATTATTGAGGAGTGTTAATCTGACAAATAAATAAGTGGCAAGTTCTACCGACCGTTGTGACAGAAATTGTTCCCAACTCACAGCCTAACACTCTAACTACGACACCATGCTGGCTCCCACCATTTTCCAAAAAACTCCTCAAAGCAATGTGCAGCTAGTTCTACATACCTATTGGAACTGCCCTAGTTTTGATAAATCAAAGCTTCTTACACTGTAGTGAGAGACCTTCCTAAATTTCCACCAGATTTTCAAAGTGATTTGTTGAATATTTCAGGAGTGTGATTTCAGAAGCATCTCAGAGAATACTGTGTATACATGCAGCTCTGTGAATTGCATTGTATAGGATCAATCTGTAACATTAATGTACACATGCTATACTAGAGGCTGCATGTACTCTGAGTTTCTGAGATGTTTTCTTTTCAGAGATACCCATACAGGGGAATAAATCTCTCCGTATCTCTCTATTTTTCACTCCCCTTTCGATTGCCCTTGAATGATGCATTGTGTGAAATATTTACAGTTTACAGGAAATCATCTGATCTATACCATTTTGTAACATAATTCTTCTGCTACAATCAGTTTGCCAAATGTGACTAGCTATCTAATCTGTCATGCGTGTTCAATGACACATGATGGCCATTCCAGCGTGTTATATAAAACAAAGGCAAATGTGTTCCATTTGTCAACCAAACAGAAGGGAGGGCAGAATTGAGATTACTCTTCTGTTCCACTGCATCCTAGTAAGGAAAAGATGTTTTAAAAACAGCAACATAGATTTTGATCACAATGGCAGATCAGAAGTACAGGAATATATGAAATATTTTCAGTCCCTCATTTTTGAAAGTGGGGAGGGTTCTAGGCACATGGAAGCCTTTCCAAATGTCCATGATTTGTTCTACCAATAAGTAGAGTGAAGCAACTGTCTCAAGCACCAGGGATTAAAGGTAAAGCAATGGCAGACTTTTCTCTGTCCCTCCCAAACTCTTTAGTTGTTCTCCCACTAAACCATTGGTTCTCAACCTTCCTAATGCCGCAACAACTCAATACATTCACTGGATCAAATTTGGCAGAAATACCCGATATGCCCAAATTAGAATCCTGGTGGGATAGGTGGAGGTTGATTTTGTCGTTTGGGAATTGTAGTTGTTGGGACTTATATTTCACCTACAATCAAAAAGCCCCTTGACCTCAAACAACAATAGTATTAGGCCAAACGTCCCACACAGAACCCCCATGACCAACAGAAAATACTGGAGGGATTTGGGAGGAACTGACAGTGATTTAGAGGAGATGTAGTTCACCTACATCCGGAGAGCACTGTGAACCCAAACAATGATGGATGCTGCTGAGCCACTCTCAGTCCCACATCACACAAGTGCTTTATCCCCTGCCTTGAAGGGACTCGCTGGAGCAAGCCTCCCTCCAGCCTTGCATGCTCTCCCTCGCATGCACACCATGCTGCCATGCGCTGAGCACCCCTGCTCTCCCCTCCCCACTTGGAGTCTCAGAAACAGCCCTCCCCTTTGCTGAGAGGCCAGCTGAGAGGCGGACCAATCACAGCAGGAGGAAGAAGGACCAATCACAGCGGGTGGGAGGAAGAGAAGTACAGGCAGAGAGATCTTCAGCCCTCTCTGCCAAAGGGATTCCTAAGACCATCAGAAATATGTGTTTTCTGATAGTCTTTAGCAACCCCTCTGAAACTCCCATGTCACCCCCCCCCCCCCCCAGGAGTCCCAACCCCCAGGTTGAGAAACGCTGTGCTAAACTAAGCCACTGCCCTCAGGTATTGTTAATGTTTTTTTTTTTCTGAATTTCTAATAATACAGAATATTATCACCAAGTGAGAGGATTTTTGCTAGTAAACCTATGAGACATTGTAGTCAGAATATCCAGCAATGAATATACAGGATTCAAATTGGCCAACATATTTGCTAGTGCCTTCATAGACACAAACCAGCAAGAAAAGATGCTGTTTTTATAATTCTTGGTACATTTATCTTTGCAACAGAATATAACAGAGCCAAATAAATGTTCAATAAGCTTCAAAAATTTCAGAAACGCCTTCTGAATTTTAGACAATTAGGATCAGAGAGCAGATGAAAATGAAACTTCATTCCATGAGGCATTGTGGGGCATATATAACTAATTTGGTCATGAATTTTGCCAAAGAAAAAATAGAATTTCTTATTGGATTTTTTTTCCTGTGATTAATCATATTCCCTCGAGGTAATCTTTTTGGGCCACATGGCTGTGTTGCTGGGTGGAACCACAGTTAAAAGGACTCAGGGGCACTCCCAGCCACTGTCTGTCCCCTTTCCTTCCTCCCACTTTCAGCTGATCCCTTCTTTAATTTTCCTTCTTCCTCCAGGCCTAGCACACTGCCACAGTATGAGGATGTTTGCCATGGTTATCTATCTGATAGACATGGTATGTATAAAACTATTTCTCACTTTGTCCAGCAGATTTTGTCTAGTAATTCTTGCATAGTCATCTTGTCCCATTCCTCAGCATGTGGTGCCTCCCAAGGAGCTTCATTGGGGATCTAAGAGAGGATAAGAGTTACATATCAAGTGAGAGAGAGAGAGAGAGAACACACACTTTGGAACAAAAATAGATGGTATTTAAAAAAATATTTATTTATTTATTTATTTGCTTTATTTCTATACCGCATTTTTCAGCCCAAACAGGCGACTCAATGCGGTTTAGAGGCCAACAACTCTTTTCATTCAAGGCCAATGTTTTTTCCACCTGAATTGTTTCATTCTAGAAATACTAGTAAATATATTAATTATATTTCTCATAATTTTTTTTCATGTCAGAAGCAACTTAAGAAACTGTAAATTGCTTCTGGTGTGAAAGAACTGACCGTCTATAAGGACGTTGCCCAGGGGACACCTGGAATTTTTTTTTATGTATTATCATCCTTGTGGGAGGCTTCTCTCAGTTCCCTGCATAGGGAGCTGGAGCTGACAGAGGGAGCTCATCTGTGCTCTCCCCGGATTCAAAACTCTGACTTGTCAGCCATCAGTCCTGCCGACACAAATGTTTAACCCACTGCACAACTAGGGAGTTTGCATTCTCATAAATGCAATAGAAGTTATTTGACTCCATAAGAGTCTTGTTGAGTTGGCAATATGGGAAGCAGTTACAAAGTGGAATGAGGCCTTCATGAAGCATTTGAACCACTATCCCTGGTTCAGATTCCCACTCCTGGTTCAACCTTACATCCAAACAAAGTGAATGAGATTCCGTTCTGATTAAATAGGACTAACATTCTGCTGCAAGACAGTTCTAGCCCAAAGGATTACCTGCAGACAAATTGCTGAATAATTTGCAGTAAACTGACTGAAATTCCAGACTTCAAGTACAAATAACAACAATAACAATAAAGCCTGCCTTTCTGCAGTAAATTGTTTCATTTACATTGTTAAAAGCTTGGATTTTTGTAGGGCAGAGCTGTGAACTTTATTCAGTTCTGATACTCACTAAGACAAAAGGGCAAAATGAAGTGCATATGGGGTGTTTATGTGGTCCTCAGGCTCCCCCAGGGATAAACAAATGCCTCAAGTGCTCTTGTGTTGGGCTCCCCTTGGACCATTTTATGTCCAAGAAAGAACTTCTTAAAAGCCAGATGTAAGCCAATATTTATGTTAAAAGCTCCCTCCTGGATCTAAAATGGTCCAAGGGGTCTAATAACACAGGGAAAATGATCCCATTGCTCCTAGGGAGCATTTGGGGAACATCTCAGTACAAAAGTGGTTGTTGTGGTATGTGTGTAATGTCCCCATCCTAGCTCATCCTGCTCAGAAACATTTAATCTGAACTTTCTCTGATAATAGCTCATTCCCCCACTTGCTCTTCAAAGTTATAGAAAAATTCCTACAGTCGTGCAGGAAAAGATGTTGGGGAGAGAAGAGGAAAAGGTCAGAGGGAGCCTGTTATATGATAAGGTGAGAGCAGAAAGACCTGCATCCAAGAGCATGGTGGATGAGCCAAGCAGTATCCATGGGCACTGGTACCAAGAGTCTAAGGTTACAGTTCTGAAATACCAGTGATCTCAACAATTGTGTTCCATAACTAATCAAGCACTTCATACCTCCTTCCCCATTTCATCCATTGTCCTCCACAGGTTGTTGTAATCCAAATACGCAATGGGATTCCACATTGGAGGAAAAGGGCCTTTGAAAGGATAAGATTTGCCCTAATAAAGAAAAGAAAAGAAAAAGAAAACAACATTCAAATCCAATCTTGATTCTGAGACTGGCAAAGTAATGTCCGTTTAATAGCTTAAACAATAAGACTTTGAAAATCTAGAGTTTTTCTTCACGTACACACACAAAGGGGTGTGTGTACACATACTTTACTGAAGCTGAAATCTGAATTCTACTGTACATCCCCCATGAGAGACATCATTTAGGCCCATATTAGACTAACTCAGATATGGGATTGATTTGACAAAAATGCACACTTATTTGTGATCCAAGGAAAGAAGGAAGGAAGGAAGGAAGGAAGGAAGGAAGGAAGGAAGGAAGGAAGGAAGGAAGGAAGGAAGGAAGGAAGGAAGGAAGGAAGGAAGAGCTGAGAAAAAGAGATGGAGGTGGAGAATAGGGGACAAAAAAGAAAAAGAAAGAAAGAAAGAAAGAAAGAGGGGGGAGGGAGAGAGAGAGGGAGGGAGGAAAAAGAAAAGCAAGACATGATGGAGAAATAAAAGAAAGGAACAGAGGTAGATAGGAAACAGAGAAGGAAAGAAGAAAAGGAAGAAAGAGAGAAAGAAGGGGAGCTAGGAAAAAGAGAGAGAGAAGGGATTCAGAATTCAGAAAGTGAGCTGAAGTGCTTTGAACCTCAGACTATGGCTCTGAATTCATAGGGTGACTTTGGGCAAATCACACTGTCTCTGCTTTGTTCAGTGATTTCAGCCATCTGCTAAGACCACACGTTGGGGTTCAGAGCCCAGCACACTTCACTACGCCAAGAGCCATATTAAAATGCAAACCTGGTTTGAAAGCAACAAGAACAAAGAGTTATTCTTTTAGGCCCAAAAGGAGGTCTGAATAGCGTCTGCACTCTAAAAGATCTGACCTGTCTGCATTTGGAAATGTAGGGCATATTTATCCATTTTGACAGCCATTTGAAATATCCTTGCTAGCCTCTGATTGGCTGAAAAAATATTCAGCCAGTTTTTGGGCTCCCATTAACTGTGGATTCCTTCTGATGTCATTGCTGGTTGTTGAATCTCCATCACAGGAAAAATAAACAGCTGTAATTTATTGGTTTGAAGTCTGAGTCCGTTTCTGATTCTGTCCCCAAAAGGGATACAACTCCCAAGAATCTGGCTGGCAAATATGCAAATGAGTCCCTGATTTGGTTTAACAATTCAGACTGAGTAAACATGAAGGAACACGTGTGGTAAAACATTATGAGAAATTATGAGAGACAAACAGTACAGTACATGAAATTATGTGCTGACCTTTATCAGTGGATCTGAATGGAAAGCTGGAAAATCCCCCAGCAACAGCAAGAAACATATCAATGAGAAGAAGTCATTTGTTAATGTATCATTTGTTACGTTAAAAGCCATTTGTTATGATCTTCAACAGTGATAGTCTTCTCTGCCTAGAGTGCTCCCCTCTTTCACATCTAGTCTCAGTGTGACAGGATTAGGCAAATTGAGCGTGTCTGCACAGATGCTTCCATTTTACCTTTTGTACTTGGGTCAGTTACATTGAAAATACCCATATTTAGTGTGGCATCAAATGTAATGTGCACCTCAATTTTCTAAAGAAGGAAGGAGAAGCAGCACCCTTCTGCCAGGCAGAAGCTGGCAAGTTCACCAGCCCAGGCTCCTTTTCCTCTTTAGAAAATCCTTTTCTCAGTTTCTCCTTTGTTTCTCAACTGAGAGACTAAGGAGAACACTCTTTATCCTTTGTCCTTGTTAGCTGAGAGATGAAGGAGAAATGGCTTGGGGTGGAAAGAGGTGCCACTTCTCCTTTATCTCTCAGCTGAGGGATGAAGAATTTGGGAAGGGAAACCACTGCTTCACCATCAGGCTGAGGCTGGCAAGTTTGGTGTGCAATTGTAATGTGTCATCAAATGTAATGTGCATCTCCTTTTTGACTTAACCATAAAGCCAAAAAAGATGTGCATTACATTCAAATAAATATGGTACATTCATACATTTCCAGATAATAGGTTAGAATGGGGGAAAGGATTTGTAGCCTGTTTGATGTCTCTCAACTGGCAATTTGTTAACATTGTGAAAGGAATACATCTCGGAGAGTCATTTTTTTAAAAAAAAAACAAAAGTAAATTTCTGGCTAATGTCCCACATCCATCTTGCAGATTTCCAAAATTCACTACAACGGAACCTGTCAGAAAACCAGGGGACCATTTCCATGTCTGGACCCTGCTTAAGGTCCTGTGATTTTTAAATCCACTTATTGTCCTGGATAATAAGTCTGTCTGGAAGAGAACCCAACTCCTATGACCTTTGCTATCATCTCCACTGACTAGTTTTGATACTTGGGAAATGCAAGGACATGGCACTTGAAATTGACACTGCAGCTATAATCCATATTATAAACCAATGTAATAAGGATTTAGGTCATGTTAACCTCTGTTTCCATCAAAAGAGCTATATTAGTTTCCATTTTTGACTTAATTGGTTTGTGTATTAGACCACTTGTGCATAATATTCACTTTTAACATTGATTGGAAAAAATGTCTGGTAAAATTGGCAAATTAATTCAAATGAACCATAACACAAGCATCATAATCTGATTTACCATGTTAACAAATTGACCACAATATGAATAACTTGACAAGAGAGATTTTATGCGATCGATTTTCTGTCTGGTTTCATTTAGCATATTTCACTAGTATACTATATTTCTGATGAAAGGTAAGCAGCTAATTCATGTAAAATATACCGCTGCTTTAATAGTGAAATGTAAACAAAAAGCACCTTCAAAGACTAGAAGTATCAGCTGCATATAGGATATAAGCTGATTTTAAAATTGTAACCTAAGAAAAGCAATTCAGTTCAAATGAAGCATCATATTTACACCACAAGAAAGTATCTTGGGATTGAGCGGTAACAAACTTCTTACCACATCTTACATTATCAGGAAAAAAAACAAGTCCGACATGTTGAAATAATATTGTCTGTTCCAGTGAAAAAGAAAATACTTGGAGCAGTTATAACAACCACCAAAAGAAAAATCCCTATTAGGTTGACATTGTTTGTGGAGTGGAAACTATCTTGGTTATAAATGAAATATGCTAAGAGATAGGGAATTATAAGGTGATTGATTTAGTTGACTTAGATTTTCAATGATTTATAATGTCATTTATTATGATGACAGCCCTTCACACACACACCTGGTTATGCTGCTGGGCATGAAAGGAATTAGTCCAAAACATTTGCAGAGGATCAGATTGGTTAATAAAATATAGGCTGGGCAAGTTTGAAATCGGAGGAACCATTACAATACAGTGGACCTTCAACACAGAGTAGCTGCTACTCTGGTTATTCTCTGTGTTTCTGAAAAGTTCCAGCATCTCCCCTATACCTTTAACATGAATATAAACTGACTGAGGTGTGGCACTGTCTCAGAAATTGAAGATAAGTGTCATATTCAGCAGAGCCCCCAGCTGAGGCAGTGGGCAGTCTATGTTTGGAAGCATTCATAGATTGAACAAGGGTGAATTAACAGAAACTCAATCCAGACAAAGGGTTACAGAGATGCATTTGGATGGATACCTTAAGGATAATTTATCCCATCTAAGAATACACAAGCTAGAAACAGCATGGACTCCCTTTTAAGTCTAGGTGGAAATGCAGCTATTTAAGATGCTATTGAATGCTATTTTCCTGCTTCTTGGCAGGCTGTTGGACTGGATGGCCCATGAGGTCTCTTCCAACTCTATGACTCTATACTAAACACCTGGATTTCTACACTACAGGCAGTCCCTGAGTTACAAACATCCTACTTACAAACAGCTCAGTTAAGAACGGGGATGGGCTAACAGGAAGTGATAAAAATCTACCCCTAAGAAGAAAAATTCACTCCTGCAAGAATTATTATGAGGGAAAGGTGTTTCAGCTAAAGCTTTATCACCAATCCTTTTTTCCACAACAAGCAAAATGTTTAAAATTCCAATTATCACAGGGACAGAAATTGAGGTGAAACCTTCTGAATAAAGGCAGAGGGCCCATCCAGACAGGCCCAAAACGCGGGATCTGTCTTGGTTTTACGGGAGGCATCCAAACGACACCTCTAGTAAAAGCAAATTAATTAAGGCTTTCCCTGGTTTACTCTGCATTAATTAAACACCTCATTAGATCCAGGTCTAATGGGGTGCTGGATCAGTGGGGACTGACTCCCGTGACTATTTCTGTAGTCCCGGCATTGAGTCTCCACAGCCATCCCACTTCTTCTGGCTTTGAAAACCCAGAGGAGAAGGATGTTGCCCACCCCTTCCCCCAGCCCCCAATTTGCCCCCTAAAACTTCCTGGAAAGGGTCCCTGGCCATCATGGAGCCACTCCTCACATCCTTGTGGTGAGAAAAAATGACACCTGAGGAAATTGGAGGGGGGGGGAGAGGATTTCCCTCCTTACCCCTCCCATCTCCTCAAGTGTCATTTTCTCATGCCACAAGGATTGAGAAGAGGCCCCATGATGGCCAAGCACCGTTTTCTGTAGTTTTAAATGGTAAATCAGGGGCTTTGAGGTGGCTTCATGTTATCCCGATTTCAATTGGGGTAGCACGTAGCCACCCTGGGAGGGAAATCCCAGGGTTGTGGGAGGGGGTGGGGACTAGAATCCAAGTCCATTTCGGTGCAGGTTTTAGTGATGTGTGGAAGTGCCCACAGATAGCAAAACAATCACCACAGGGTATTAATCCTTCCCTATACTATATATATTTGGCTGGAGTTACACTTAAAATATACCTGTTCCAACTTACATACATATTCAACTGAAGAAGAAACTTACAGAATCTTCCTTGTTCATAACTTAGGGACTGCCTGTGGTTTCTTTAGCCAGATTTCATTTATGCCCGAGGGGAAAAGTCTTCCAAAGGACTGTGGCTAAGATCTTTCCCCATCTCTCTGGCCTGCAACTAAAGGGAAAGTGAGAAGAATGACCCCGCTCTGACTTTAAAATTTGGAAATGGGGAGGAAAGGCATTGTCTTTACTGGAC